GAGCATTCCTAATTTCTAGCCTGGTGCTTGAGGCATAATAACATAGCCAAGAACTGTGGGCCAGTGTGTGTTGGCCAAATATTTATTAGATTCCAAAAATGCTGTTCTAGATTTAACTTACATTTTAGAGATTCATTGAAACAATCCACTGCTCTTGTATTTCTGGAAGTTTTGCACATGAAGTAGATAAGAAAGTTTGGTCTGACTTTTGTTCCTTTCCACAAGTATGCTTGCTATATAAAAACAGTAAATTTAAAAGGGTAGCAAAATAATACATTATCCTTAAATGCATGGCCTAATTGATATTTTTTAGTAGAGGGGTTATCCTTGATTACAGTTGTTGACTTCAATAAATTATTGACTGCTCTTGAATCTTTAGTATGTAAGATGAAATTTAGGTGTTCATTTGAAGTCCAAATACTATGCCCTTGTAAATTACCTCTGCTGACTTATATTTTAAATTTTACTGGTTAGCTTATAGGATAATTTATAATGTTCTGTTTCTTAAGCTTTACTATACTTAAACAAAGAGCTTAATGTATTCTGAATTGTTTTACTTTGTGTTACTACTTTCTTCCCAGTATTCTATTAAATTGGTGCCTAAACTTTATATAAATTTATATAATATAAAGGAAGATATGAGAATTAACATATAAAGGTAATATTAATATAAAGGTAATTTTCAAACTTTCAGTGTTTAAACATTTTTTGAGAAATGTTTTAGAGAAATTTTTGTTCTCTTTGTATTTGCAGTATTTAACACAAATTACTTAATACAGTTTGTGGTATATTGTATTCTAAGGGTGGACCACTTTAGTCTGTAGTCTCTTGTGGGTGAAACTTTTTTTGCGTTTTTTTTTTTTTTGCTTTTAATAATTTGTGAATGAAGGTTAACCAAAAAAACCATATCATTTGGATAAAAACAATCATGTTCAGTGTACATAGGTTTAGAGTAGGAGTCCCTTCTGATTCATATCGTGTTCTCATTTTCAACACTAAAAAATATAAAAAAAATCAATGTAAGTATATTCATAATGGCGTAGGTTCAGAAGCTGTGTCTAATAGTAAAATGAGTTTATGTAGAGCAGTAAATGATTGTAAGTTTTAGTGTTTTTTAGTCTGTAGTTATGTAAGTTTTGCCAAATGTACACAGTTATGTATAACCATCACCATAATCAAGATGTAGAACAGTTCCATGATTCCCCAAATTTCCCATGTCCCTTTGTTATCAACCACTCCCATTCCAGGGATGGGAATGGGAATCCGTTGAACAGTTTATATTACCTTAAATTTGCCTTTGCAAGCATGCCGTATGAATGAATCATAAAGCATTGTGGCTTTTTGAGTATGATGGCTTTTTTCAGTTAGCATGACATTCATCCATGTTTTGAGTGTATCAGTTCCTTTAATTAATTCCTTTCTCTCTCTTTTTTTCTGTTTCTCTCTCTCTCTCTTTCTCTCTTAGATTTATTTATTTGAGAGAGAGAGAAAGTGCTCATGGACATGTGAGCCAGGGTAGGGACAGAGGGAGAGAGGTAGAGAGAGAATCTTCAAGCCGACTCCTTGCTGAGCACAGAGCCCTATGCAGGGCTAATCCCAAGACCCTGATATCATGACCTGAGCTGAAATCAAAAGCCGGCCACTTAACTGAGGGAGCTACCCAGGTGCCTTTTATTTCTGAATAGTATCCCAGTGTATGGATCGTCTACTGTTTGTTCTTTCCCCAGTTGAGGGACTTTTGGGTGGTTTCCAGTTCCTGACATTTTTGGAAAAACAATAACAGCAGCAACAAACCAGCTATAAATATTTGCTACAGTTTTTCATGTGGACACAAGTTCTTATTCTACTTGAACACACACACACACACACGCATGCACGCATGATGGATATTGCTGGGCTGCATGACAAGTGTATGTTTAACTTCAGAAAAAATTGACAAAGTCCGCTTTTCCAAAGTGCCTGTACTATTTTTGCATTCCTATCAGCAGTACATGACCATTACAATTACTCTATATGCTCACTAGCTCTTAGTATTTTCAGTTTTTCTTTTAAGCCATTCTAATGGTTGATAACTGTGATTTTAATTTGCATCTCCTTAATGACTGGTGATGTTTTGAGCATCTCTTCATGTTTTTATTTACCATTTATGTATCTTCTTTGGTGAAGGATTTGTTCAAATCTATTGGCTATTATCTAAAATGTTTTTTTTACCTTGGGGTTGAGTTTTGAGATTTTTAAAGGGTATCATATTGTAAATACAAGCTCTTGTCAGACATGTGATTTGTAACTGCTTATCCCTCATCTGTGGCTTGTCTTCTCCATAGCTGAACATAACTTTTCCATGTTTTTTTGAAGAGCAGAGTTCTTCATTTTGATGAAGCCTTATTGAACAATTTTTCATTATGGATCATGCTCTTGGTGTCATATCTAAGAAATTTTTGCTAACCTAAGCTTATATAAAGTTTCTCTTATGTTTTTGAAATTTTATAGTTTTAGGTTTTGCATTTTGGGGTTTATTTTTCTATATGGTGGGACCTATGATTTGAAGCTCATTTTTTTTTTTTTTTTGCATGGGGATATTCATTTATTTCAGCACCCTTTGTTGAAAAGACTGTTAATTTCTCCACTGAATTACCTTTGCACCTTTTTTGGAAGTCGATTGACCATATGTTTGTGGGTCTATTTGTGGACTCTGTTCTGTTGTTGATCTGTATGTCAATCCTATTTCTAGTACCACACTATCTTGTCAATTCTAGTTCTGTAGTAAATCTGGAAATCAGATGGTGTAAATCTCCTAGCTATATTTTTCTTTTACCACATTATTTTGGGTATTCTAGTTCCTTTGCTTTGTCATATAAATGCAATTTTTCTCTTTCTATAGAAAATCCTGCAGAGATTTTTGATTGTAATTGAGTTGACTCTCTAGATTCGTTTTAGAAGAATTGACTTTATTTTTTTTTTTTAAGATTTTATTTATTGATTTGACAGGCACAGCGAGAGAGGGAACACAAGCAGGGTGAGTGGGAGAGGGAGAAGCCGGCTTCCCGCAGAGCAAGGATCCTGATGCGGGGCTCGATCCCAGGATCTGGGATCATGACCTGAGCCAAAGGCAGATGCTTAACGACTGTGCCACCCAGGCACCCCTGGAATTTTTAAGCTTTTTGTGGGGGGGGGCTTATATTATCTGTTTTAGTATGTACAGTAATGATATTTGAAAAACATGTCAGTAGGGCGCCTGGGTGGCTCATTCGGTTAAGCCTCCCACTCCTGGCTTTGATTTCAGGATCATGGGATCCAGCTCAGCAGTGGGCCCTGTGCTCAGCAGGAAGTCTGCTTCTCTGCTTTTCTTTTCCTCTCTCTCTGTCCTCCTTGTTGACTTGTGCGCGCACACTCTCTCTCTCAAATAAATAAAACTTAAAAGAAAAACATGTCAATAAATATAAAAGAGCTCTTTAAATAATTGCAGATTAAAAATTCTAAATTATAAGAGCCATGTTATAGTTTAATTGACAGCTTACTTCTACCCCTTCACCTTCAGTGATGTATAAAAAAATTGTGTTTCTTAAAATTGATGGTGTCTTACAGTCAGTGAGACACATTAGGAAGGAAAAGCAAATTAATATGGGGTGTTCATTTTATTGAAATGTTAGCTCTCTTTCTCACCCAGGTAAAGCTCTGTCTAGAAGATAAATGTGTGAGAACACAGATTCATGACACCTTCAGAGGACTGTAGAAAACTTGTGGTGGTTTTGTCTTGAACAGAGGCAGTCTGTTGCTAGCAGGAATGTTTGTTTATTTGCTGTACTTTATTTCCATTTCTTTAGTGATAAATAATAAAATGTTTCTGACAGAGGTTGCTTTGGGGAAAATTTGGTAAATCATGGTTAAGTCACATAGGCAGGAAAATAAAAAACCTATCTGACATACCAAGAATAAAATTATCCAGTTTTATCATTTGAAAAAAATCCTATAGATAAAACCCATGAATGTAAATATACTTTTTCTAATTCTGTATGTTTGGAGAATATGGAGATGCATTTTGAGATGTCTTTTGGTGTAGTAAAACTATTACAAATGCATTGTGGATTTAACATGTGTTTTAATTCTGTCAAAATTTTCTCTGGTAAGAGCTTTTGTCAAGATAACAAGTAAAAGGGAAAGAAAATATTCTGCAAATGTCGTTTCCATTCTTCCAATTTTTTGCTATCTTGAACTGAACTAATATAATTTAAAAGGAAATTAGCTGTCTTCTCTAGGGTGTTTTATATCCTTTTATATATGAAAAGAATGTTGGGAATGCGTGGGGCATTCATTATTAGTCTGTTGGATTTTCTTGGTGTTAGAGTTACTTGTGGCTTAGTGTTACGTTTTATTTCCAAGGCAAATACAGTATTTCCCAAAATGTCAAACATTAATGAAATTAAGAGTTTAGGAAATAAATTTGATTTTATATTAAGATTTAATTTCCTGGCATTTTCCCTAAAATCATGTCCTTAAAATCCTGTTGAGATACTGCCTTTAAAACATTTAAGGAAATTTGAATAACTGACATTTTTGAGTATTTTCTCCTTTTAGTTTTTCCTCTAAAAATACAGATGCTAACCTTAGCATCAGTTTGTGACATTTTGCGATCTTTAAATAGAATTTTAACAAAATTTGTCTTTGTGGCACTATTCGGTAGAAAGATTAATTTGAGAATTTCAGATGATTTCAAATTTTGAAGAATCGGGTTGGAAAGACTTTCATCACACAGAGTTTGTACCATGCTTATATTCTGAAGACTTTAAAATTGAAACATGTTATTTCCTTCTGTACATAGGTATTTTATGACTTTGGGCAAGTATTTAACTTCCTTTCTCCAGTTCCAGTGTGAGCTAATTCATTTCAATGAATTCATCAACTTTCCTTTAGAAAAATGTTTTGAAAGTTAATTTTTATCTGGACGCCTTTCTTACTGGTTCATTTTTTTGTTTTGTTTTGTTTTGTTTTGCTCTTTTCAGTTGTGGAGGAAGGACTCTGGGAAAATGGCCTTTCCTATGAATGTCGGACACTGCTCTTCAAAGCGATCCACAATCTGTTGGAAAGGTAAGCGAGGACCAGCATCACGGTTGTTTTGAGACACTCAGGTGTAATGCTGGCTATTCCCAGGTTGTCCTGTAATTCTCAAAATGCTTTGACATCTGGTCTCACTCCTTTTATATTGATATAATTTCAACCTTAGGGAAGTTTCAGGAATAGCACAAAGATCTTCATATATCCTTTTATTCAGATTCGCCAGTAGTTTTTCTTTTGCCCAGTTTGCTTTGTAGTTTGTGTGATTGCTTGCCCCTTTACTACTAACGTGTATTTAAAAGTTATTTCCTGAGCCACTCAAGAGTCATTTGCACACTTGAGATTGTTCTTTCTTTAACCCCTGTTTAGGTGAACATTTCCTAAGGACAGGGGTAGCCTCTCATGTAAGCGCTGTGTAATTACGAAAATTAAGAAATCTAACATTGATAAAATGCCATTATCTAATCTGTAGTTAAGCTCAGATGTCATTATTGTCCCAGTTATATCCTTGATATCTTAAACCCTTTTCCCCCAAGATCCAATCCATAATCATACATTTTAGTTTTCATGTCTCTTTTAAGTCTGGAAGTATTCCTTAGCCTTTCTTTTTCTTTCTTGACATTGACATTTTGAATGAGTTCTGGCCATATGTTTTATATAATGTCCCTCAATTTGAGGTAGTTTCCTCATGACTAGATTTAGGTTGTGCACTTTGTAGTAATACCATAAAAGTGATGATGTATCCTTCTCAGTGTATCAAAGCAGGAGGCCTGAATTTCTGTGTCATTGATATTAACATTGTTGATCACTTGTTTGAGGTGGTGTTCTGTCAGATTTCTACAGTGTAAATTAATAAGTACTTGTTAACTGTGACCTTTGTTAATTCTGTCTGTGTAATTATTAAGTAATTTGTGGCCAGATACAATGAGATTGTGTAATTATCCTGTTATCACATTTTGACTCATGTGTTTTACTTTCTATTGTCTAAATCAGTTAGTAGAGTTCTGGCTGTAATGTTAATTTTCAAATGTCACCATTCTTTCTACTTTCATTGTTTGACATTCTTTTTGTAAGGAAGAGTTTTTCATTTTCTCGTATGTACACATATATGTGTGTTTTTAATCTCCATTAATCTTTTTAGCTATATAAATTTGGAGAAATGGATTTCAGTTTTATTCAATGGATTGTAATTCATTAGTACCATCATTTATTTTGATGCATAAGTTCTTCCAGGTTCGGCCAGGGAAAGCCCCTCACGCCAGCTTGTGCAGCCTTTTGACCTGTCGTTATTGTTCTGGTGCCCCCTTACCTTATGGCATAATGGTATGCTCCTGGCACAGATAGTGTTTTAAGGGGAAAAACAGATGAGAAAGAATGGGTTAATTAAGAACTTCTGTGGGAAGAACTTTTTTCACTTCTCTTTTTGAGTCTTTATTTGGTACTTTCAGGTGATCAAGCTGAAAGAACATTCTGGTACTCTTTAGTTTTTATCCAAGCTCTTGGTTATGGTGATGTCACTACAGTGTCAATGCTTAGGGGACCTAAGCTGCAGTTGATAAGTTGTCACCATTTAATTCACTCAGAGAGACCGTTCCCACCAGATTTATCTTTTTCTTTCTGAACTCCAGTTCCCACCTCTGTGCTTTGGAGTGGACCTAGAGGCCACCCATCTGTTACTAAGGCAGTATATTTTAGAAGCATTGATTTTGAGAGTTGAGTACTCTTAAACAATTCAAATATTTGATAATTCTCTCTCCCACTACAAAACAAAACAAAGTACACACAAAGTGCCTTCAGGAAAATGTGGAACCTTGACTGTTTCTATAATCCAATCCAACAAAGCTCTTATTATCTGTATAATAATTAATGCACTTTTAAACAGTCTCTTTTTTTTTTAGATTTTATTTACTTGACAGAGAGAGAGGGAGGGAAAGAAGAGCACACAAGCAGGGGGAACAGCAGAGGGAGAGGGAGAAGCAGGCTCTCCGCTGAGCAGGTAGCCCGATGTGGGGTTCAATCCCAGGATCCTGGGATCATGGCCTGAGCCAAAGGCAAGCAGACGTTTAACCAACTGAGGCAGCCAGGCACCCCTAAACAGTCTTTGATGAAAATTTTTAATGTATGTGGAATAAAACACGTATTTTAAAAAATAGCTCACTGTGTTTTTCATATCATTATTTTTTTCAGAAAAAATATTAATTTGTGGTTAAACTGTATTCTTTTCAGTCTTTTGTGTTTTAAATGGGAGAAAATGAGAAGAACAGAAAAACTGGGAGAGAAGAAAAATGCAGAAAATTCATTTATTCTTTGCTCATGAATTCCAAATTTGTGATAAAAACTGAAGTTCAGGGGTGCCGGGGTGGCTCAGTTGGTTGAGCATCTGTCTTTGGCTCAGGTCGTGATCCCAGGGTCCTGGGATCGAGCCCCATGACCAGCTCCCTGCTCAGGAGGGAGTCTGCTTCTCCCTCTGCTCATGGGAGCGCACATACGTGCGTGTGCGCTCTCTCTCAATTAAACAAACAAACGAACAAACAGAATCTTTAAACCCCTGAAGTTCAGGTTAAGTTATTATTTGATAAGAAAGTTAATTGTGACATATGCAATATGTCATGTAATAAAACTTCAGATAGTTCTAAAGAACTTTGGGTTAGACCTTGGTTTGATTTCACAGTCTGTTACTTGGACACTTCCCCTAACCTCACTAAGCCTTAGTAAACACCTTTAAATTAAGTATACTATACTGTGCACCTTGAGTTTTTGTTAGATAATGTATATGATAGGTGCTGCATAATACTTGACCTATTGTTACTGTTCAAGAATGGTTAATTCCTTTACCCATAAATTTATTATTTTGCATACTTTGATTTGAATCCTCTTACAAGCTTTATTTTGAAATCGTATTTCTTTTTTTTTTTTAAGTGTTTTATTCATTCATGAGAGTCAGAGAGAGAGAGAGAGAGAGAGGCAGAGAGAGAAGAAGGCTCCCCACTGAGCAGGGAACCCGATGTGGGGCTCGATCCCAGGACCCTGGGATCATAACCTGAGCCGAAGGTGGACGCTTAACCATCTGAGCCACTCAGGCACCCCTGAAATCGTATTTCTTTTAGAAAATAAGTAATCAAGCTATTTAGCTCCCTTACTATAGTTAGAATGGACAAGTTGAGATTTTTTTTGAAAAATTGTAATAATTCCTTTGTCTTTCAAAATAATATTCTCTTTTCACCAAACTTTAAGTAGCTGTGTTGTATGATTGAGATGAAGCGAGGAATCATTTTAAATGGTTGTTTATAGCTCTCTTTATTCATTGTCACCAGAGACTGGGTTGGCCAACATATGCTTGCCCTTTTGTTTGTCCCTAGCTTAGACCATTTGCTGTAAAACCAACCTAAATTTATTGAAATACAGATTACTATCTTATTTCTGACCTGGCAATTTTCTCTCACACCTTTCCATTCCTATTCAGAAAGATAACTGGGTTTCCCATTGAGGGTGTTTTGAGGTTCTAGCATGAAAGCCAGAATTGAGGTTATTGTAGCAGATCATCAAGGAATGTATCACCTGCAGGGTGTTTGTGCTTCCCAAACTATTGTTTTCCTAGTTCGCATAGTAACAAAGCTTATACTAATGATTTATTATTTCTGCTTTTTGTATTTTTAAGCATATTGGATTTGCTTAATTAAAAGGGAATTCCATTAACCACCTTGAGAGGCTCTCACAGCTAAGTAGGAGTCATATAAATTGATTTTTTTTTTCTCCATGAGGCAGCAGTTGCTAGTGTATACAGAATGATGAGTTACTGCAGTGGTTTATTAAAAATAATTTTGCTATAGAAATTAAGATAACATTGTGAACTTCGCACAGAATAAGATAATTTCATTTTTATTGCTATTGATTGGTGCTGAGATAATACTATATTGATGTGTGTAGAATATTTTAAATTCTAAGGTAATAGGACTTTAAACATTTTATCTTTCATTTACTTATTCCTCCTATAGCTCTCCAGTATTTGCATACACTGCACTGTATAGGTCTAGCCAGTGTCATCTGTTCATTAAGAAAACCAAAAACCTCACTGGTGCTTACCCAAGAGCATTTTCCTTCAAGGTGTCGGTTAGAGGCTAACATATCTGGCTGTAATATTACATATCTTTATGGGCACACATTGCTACAAGTCCATTTCTTCATTGCTTTCAGAGGTGGAAGATATTTTACATCTCTGCTCTGCCAGCAGAATTTTAATATATGACTTGGGCAGGTGACTTAAGCTTGCAGAGCCCTTGTTCTTTACCTATAAAATGGTGAAGGATTGTTCTGCTCAGCCCAGTACCTTTCTCATTATAAGAGCTTATAAATGGCTAACTGCTGTTAATATTAGCAAATAGAATTATCAGTAATACTATTTTCAGAATTGGACACAACATTAAGTCAACTAGCCTGTTTACCCAGATAATTCTGGAACCCTGTTCTATAATACCCTTTGTATGTGGTCATCCATACTTTCCTTGAAAACTTCTGGTTGTGTGAGCACAGCTTTCTAAAGGAGTTCTTTTCATTTTTAGAGAGATGTTAGAACATTCCTTTAGTTAAATGTTAGAAAGTTCATTGTTTGAAAGTCTCTTATGCTGAGTAGAAATCTGTTTCCTGTAATTGTTTTAAAAAATCTTAATCCTATTCTTTGGGGTTCATATATAATTCATCTAATCCTACTTCCTTGTGATGGTCTGTTTAATAGCTTGGTACCCTGAGTTTTGTCTTTCTTTGGTTTATAGTTCTTATCATATAATATTGGACAACCCCCCCCCCCCCCCCCCCCAGATATCCCATTCTCTTCATTTTGACTGCCACTGGACTACTTTAAGATGTCATCGGTGTTTGATGAAGTTTTGCAGTGGTCTCTTCTACAGTCAGGTTAGGCTCCATTATGCTGCGGTAACAGAAGACCTGAAGGATCTTACTATCTTAAAACAATTGAAGTTTTTTCTTGCTTGTGCTGCTTGCCCACTGTGAGTCATTTACTAGTAGCACTCCTCATA